CCACCTATCAAGCTCGAGAGTGGTCCACGAGTTGCATCCTTACTCAACTTTCTCCAGTAGGTTAGTGTACACATTATTTCCCAGCCAGATAGTCTCTTTAACTGTTTCTTCAAAACCATTTTGTCTTCCCAATTCAATCAACTATTTCGTTGCCTTCGGTCAATGGCTTCAAGTCCCTCGCCCTCCATCTGTTCTTTTCAATGTATATATTGCTCTACATTTTGACCTTCGTCACTAGCTTTTCATGCTTATTTAGTCTACGGCTTCTTTTGTATGATCTAAGATGTACCTTTATGTATAGTCATGTAACACAACCGGGATTAAGTACGCTGCTTACATGCCTACGTTGAATTCAGTTCTTGTAAAGCTTGCTTATTGTAGGACTAATCTTGATCATCGAAAAATAAAGTTAGGGGTCGTTTACCAGGCACTTACCCGGGTAAACACTTACCAAGTCACATTACCTTACCAAATAAATATGGCAAGGACCAAAAATCTTACCCGATAAGAGTGAATGCAAAAACCAAGAGTCTTACCTGGTAAGTAAGATCGATGACTCTTACCACGATTAGTTCTTATTGGGTAAATTGTTGAATACGATACTGTTTTGGTGGACTAAAATCTTACCAGGTAAGTAAATGACAGTGTTGAATTTTGCCGGTAAACACTTGACTTGGTACGCGCTTGGTAACAGATTTGAACCAATGTTGACATAATTTTGCATCTTTAGTTGTAAATGTACAACTGAAAGGAATGCAAAATGAGAAAACGTAACAGAAAAAATATAACTTTTTTAGGCGTGACTGTTTCAATCTACTTATAACAAAAACAAGTTAATTTGGACATATTTTATTGATAAGGGTCAAAAGAGTAAAATATATAAGTTAGTTAAAATATAAACTAGTCATTAGGGGTATTCATCAGTTGAAAACCAATGGATTTAAGTAGATCTGATCCGATCCGATCCAATCATCCATTGGATGTTGAATTTTGTTATCTGATTCAATCCAACAAACATTGAACATCCGATCCAATCCTATGGATGATTGGATTGGATCAGTTCCATCATTTAGATAATACTATTAGTTATTCATTGAATTGGATTGGTTAGATTTTATTGGATGTTGGACTGTTATCCAAGAACCGACTAATCCAATTTGGATGTTGAAATTTTGGATCTGATTCAATTACAATTGGGTATCCGATTATGGTCGATCAATTCTAATATGATCGACAACTTAAATTGAATCAGATAACTTTTTACACGCCCCTACTAATCATATTAGTTGTGACTCGACATAAGTCGTATAAAAGGCATTTAATGTTTATATCCTCTTAAATTACGTTATTTAAAAAAGTGAATATGATTTTCGTAATCCTATTAATTATTTATAAAAATAAAATAAAATTGGCACGTCAAGTGGTTAACTCAATCCACAGTTCCACACCGAGGCACGCACCATTAAATTTTTGTTCGTATAATATAACGAGATATATTTCAATTTTAATATTTTGTTTTATTATTATTTATGTTTATATAATACGATTTTTAGTAGTTTTAAAAAAAGCGATAATATTTTTATTTTTGAATTAAATATATCATAAAAATTAAAAAAAAATATGTATATCGATATTAGTATCAAATTTATTATTTAAAGTTCTGTTTTTTTGTATAATTTCTTCAATTCAACATTTCATTTATAATTTAATTTAAATTTAATAACGAAGTAATTTATTTATTGTTTAATAATGTAGATTTTATAAATATAACAATTAAGTATTTTGTTATAACTAATGATTATCTTAATTATATTTTAGATTTTTTATATTTAAAATGAGATGTTATCCCGTATTTGATTATGTTTATCTATAATTAGTTACTCAAATTCAAAAATGAAGATTTAATAAGTTGTACTTACGCACAGTTTACTTGTAATCTTGAATTTTAAGTAATATGCATTAATAGATAGTACTTCATGCATATAAAATGGTTTTTAAGAATGTTTGTCAAATGCTTTATAACATAGTATAGAAATGAAAATTTGAAATCCTAAAAAATATATATGCATTGATTATTATAATTTTAACAATTCTAACATTAATTATATTAATAAAATATTATTTATCTTTTGACATTTAATTTCAATACTTTTTATTGGTGAGAAAGAATTAAAATATCATTTCTCCAAATTTAGAGATTTTCATTAAGTGACCGTTTATCAAAGACTTATCCGAGTAAGCGTTTACCAAGTTACATTACCTTACCGGATGAATACGGTAAGGACCAAGAATCTTACCCGGTAAGAGCGAGACAATGACCAAGAGTTTTACCCGGTAAGTGAGGGCGACGACTCTTTCCATGGTAAGCGATTACCGGGTAAATTGTTGCATACAATATCGTTTTGGTGGACTAAAATCTTACTCAATAATTATATAATAGTGTTAAGTTTTACCGGTAAGTACTTACCAGGTAAGTGTTTGGAAATCGGCCCTTTAATCTCTTTTCTTCTCTATTTTATCATATCATTTAGCATAGCTGTTGAAGCAAAAAAATTCCTAAATCTTCAAATTTTTCTATTTTAGCATAGTTATTAGAGATGCTCTAATACATTTTCACATAAAACATTTTCAAAACTGAAAATTGCATTATCCGTTCAGTATAGATGAAATGCAAGAACACGATACGAGATATCTCATTTCAGTAATCGTCATGTCATGTGAGCTATTTATCTTACAAAATGATCATAAAAACTGATTAAACAAGTATGGTCTGATATAGAACCGAACACATTACATGTTACGTTTTCAAGTACGACGTATATACTTCATTGGCATGACGTCTCGTCCACATATACTCCATCATAAACAAAAGGTGGTCATATCAACTGTGCTAGTATTAAATGCAGTCTTGTGCTTTAATTGGTATCATCTTCCATTCATTTATGACTTCAGTGTCGACCCATAAACATGTGACAGAACATTTATCTGCTATAATTTCCAAACATGTTCATACTCTCAAGGAAAAAAAAAAAAAAACAATAACGAGCATTACAGAGTAATCAACTCTAAGCGTTTGTACTATCTTGGTTACTTTATGAATCATACTACGGGACATTTATCCCAACATTTATCTTGTATTGATATTGTGGTAACAATCATATTAAGGGGCTGTTTGGTTGAATTTTCATTAAGTCATGTATGGATAAAAATGTCTGTGTAGATTAATGTCTATATAGACTGAGAAGATTTTTGTTTGGGATGACTTTTGCATGGATGGAATACGCGAGTTTTCTAACTGGGAGGGACAAGTTTAGAAGGAATTTTTTTTTGACATTCTGCATAAAGCCTCCCCTAAAAGTTTACTGAATAAGTCATTTTCTATATAATTAAGCTATTACAGAACTGAAACAGTCATGTATAGCTGACTGAATAAACTGTGACTCTAATTAAGCTCTAAATAAAGAGATACTAAGAAGGGGTATGAATAGAATTCACATAATGATTACTTAAATCAATATATATTTTTCTCTTACTAAACAAATTAGATATTTAATCATTTATTTGTTATTTTTATTAAATTATGTAATAATAAGATATTGTGTTTTAATAAAAATAATCTATACTATATTATAAAACATTTGATAAAAATTCTTAAAAATCAATTTTTATGCATGAATTATTATTTATTGATGAAAATTCAAGATTACAAGTAAATTTTGCGTAAATACAATTTAGTAAAATGTTATGTTTGAATTCGTGTAACTAATTACAGACAAAATTATTTTTATAAAAAATTATATTGTTAAACCTAAATTAAGTTAAATTAAATTATAATAAAAAATTTGAATTAAAAAATATACAAAGAATAACTTTTAAATAGTTAATTTGATACTAATATTGATATATTTTTTTGCAAATTTTATATGATATCAAATTTATACTTTATTCAAAAATAAAATATTATCGCTTTATCAAAACCACATAAAATCGTATAGATGTCGACATGGATAAAAAATAAAACGAAACATTGAAATGAAAATGTGATTCGATGCATTGCACGAGTACCTTTCTAACATCCTATAATACTCATCAAAGTTTAGCATGTATACCTTTCATATTTACAACTTTTTTTCCGCAAAAATTGGTTGAGCAGGTGCACGAGACTCCACTTTGGAGTCTTCGTAGGTATGTCTCCTGGTTGAATAGTGCATATTCAGTTGTAGTCTAGTCAACCGCCTTTACACATTTTCAAATTTGGCGAACATATTTTTATCTGTTCAATCAATAGTCTCTGAAAGAATAATAACTTACACGTTCATCGCCACCTCAACCATATACTTTTTATTCAATTATCCTTCAGTATTACAAATTAAATTCAAAATATAAAAGTCCAGTCAATAACATTACATCATTGATACACTGGTAGCAGACAATATGTTCAATTCGAACTCAATATCTGTATGTTATGCTACATATACTTATTTATTTACGATATTCATTTGAAATTCCAACCAACAAAATCAACCTTTGAGAAAAATGAAGTAGACATTGCCTTGTACTTATAAGAAATATAGATATTACTTCGGAGCCGTTTACCAAACACTTATCCGGTAAGTGTTTATCGGTAAAATTTAACACCAGTACAAAAAAATTGGCTTAATTTAATACGAACATCAATATTTTTTTTCCAAATTTATATCTTATTCAAAAATAAAAACATTATTGCTTTTCTCAAATCTACATAAAACCGTATTATAATATCGACATATGATAAAATAAAATGCAACATTAAAATCAAGATGTATCTCGCTACATTGCATGATGTTTTAATAAGAACTAATTTAAAAACACATTGTCGTACTTTTTATGTCTAAAAAATAAATATAAAATAAAAATTAAAAAAGTCCACAAAGGCATGGAAAATTAAGGACCAAACTGCAAATTAAGGAATAGTTTACCATGTATAGGCCATGGGAGGCTAGGGCTCCAATTTGATTTGGCAAAGCAAAAACCCCAAATTCTGAAAAAACGATGACAACATGATTGAAAAGGGCACAAATTTTCAAAATTATAAGTAATTCGATCGTTACCCAACTGTCTCAGCCTCCTCCTCCACATCGTCGCCGGCTTGGCGGTACCGGAACAGACTGAACAAAATCTTTATCCGGTCAGACAACTCTGGATCTAGGATACAAAGGATACTTGTGAAAGAACCACACACTAGAAGATGATTCTTCACTGATCTCATCTTTGTGTTGCTGCAACTGACGTGGATTCTGTTCACGTTCAACCAACGATGATCCCTTCCCGAAGCCGATATTTTCCGAGGGAATCAGGTAATCACATGATCTAATTTCGAAATGAACAATTATTAGTTCATATTTTTCTTAAACGTGCCGATTATCCGACTTAATTGACACATTTATTGCTTGTTGTATAGGTGATTACTGGGAGGCTTCGCAAGGGTTCGGGCTGCCGCGGACACTGCATAGCTTTCCAGTGTTAACTATCCAATTCTGTGTCAATTGATGAATCATTTAGAATTAATTCAGGTGATATATTGCTATACTTGAAATTTCTCGATCCTTTTTGTTTCTTGGGTGATTACAGATTGCCAATGTTCTGTAAATTTGTTAATTTCTAGTTGGTGCTTAATTTGTCTTAAGTTTTGTGAATCTTTTCTTGGATGTTTTTTCAATGAATGCTGTCATTTAGGTTAACTTTGTACTTACTGTGAATCTTTTTTGTTTTTCTTCCAATAGACCTATGAAAAGCCATTCAACTTTCTTATTTTCTTAAGTTTGCACTTTGCAGTAGCTCCAAAGGTAGGGAACACCCTTTTTTTCTCTAACCAAGTGATAAAAGTTATTGTCTACAGTTTACTCCATATATAAATGTGTATGAAATGGTGTGCCTGTAGGGTTCCAACAATTTCTCTAAACAGTATATAGACACCAAGGAGGAAGGATTAAACTAAGCAAACCGACTGCTTATTAGAGGGGAGACTAGTCATTCAAATGCCTTGGCTGAAACTAAGGTTGTTTGTACTTGATTAGTTCTTTATCCTTGCAGCCTTCTTTTAACAAATTTTCCTCCTTATATTGGTCTTCAGATCCCCTCTTTGTTGTCATCAACAAGGGATTCTTATGCATCTTAGATGGTGTGGGCCTCATAATATAGTGAACTAATTCGTTCGACATAATCTCAGGTCAAATTTGTTGGCATGGTTCCCCATATTCTTGTTGTTGGACCATATATCTTTGCTTGCACTTGGCTCGTGTTGGGAAAACTAGCACAAATTGGGCCGTACGGAATTCAAATTACAAAACTGATGAAGGAGCAATCAATTCCTTCAATTAAGATTTATGTTTGGAGAAGTTTTCCTTAAGAGCATTAGGATCCAACTTCCAAGGGTACCCAAATTCCAAATATGTTACTAGGTAGGCAAACAAGCTTTTAGAATAACACCATATTCTATGATATGGAATGTAACACTTTAAGCACTAGAGTTGAAATACTAGCTCTATGAAAATGCAATCAACACATGAATTGCACTTAGGGTGCGTTTGGTAGGGGTGAGCAGCGGAACCGGGTACCCGACTATGGAACCGGAACCGCCTTGGAACTGCCGGTTTCGGAACCGTTACCCGCCGGGTACCCGGTATTTTTCAAGTAAAAAAATATTTATTATTTTTTAATACCAAATTTATTTAGGTTTACATCTTGAAAGCACGTCGTCATCTTCATTATTCATCTAAATTCTCCATATAAAATGATTCGTTTTTTTTCAAATTGTGTATTCACTTGGATTCATAGTATGTAATCGTTAAACTTTGAACATTTACCATTATAGTATGTAATCGTTAAACTTTGAACATTTACCATTATAGTATGTAATCGTTAAACTTTGAACATTTACCATTATAGTATGTAATCGTTAAACTTTGAATATTTTCTATTAATCTATTATAGTTTGTAATCGTTAAACAATATTTGTAACWATTATTCTGTATAATTTGTATTCTTGCTTATTTATTTAGTGTTTTGGCAATGTTTTATTTTTAATTTCTAAATAATAAAATTTTAATATTTTAGGAAGCGGGTACCCGGAACCGGAACCGGAACCGGTTCCCGGCGGTTCCAGTTCCAAAAATTTGAGAACCGCTCTAACCGGTTCCGGTTCCAATATCTCAAGAACCGCCGGTTCCGGTTCCTGTCAAAAAGGGCGGGTACCCGCCTATGCTCACCCCTAGCGTTTGGTGCGCAGACAGGACATGACAGAACAGGACAGTTGTTCAACGTTTGGTAAGACATGACAGGACATGACATAACTGGTTAAAATGAGCAATTTACCCCCAGTAAGCTGTTTAGTGTTTTTTCACTAAATAATAGATATAAATGTTTACAAATACTATTTAAAAATACCAAAAAAATTCTAAAATCAATCTTAATTAAACACTCACATTCATAAATCAAAGATTTAGTAGTCGCCGATTGATGAGAAGTCGTCGCCGATTGATGTGAAGAAGCGATGGAGGAAGTGATGGAGGCTACGGGAAAAGGGCCGATTTAGTAGTCGCCGATTGTATGGAAATTGTTGCCGCCAATTGTATAGAAATCGTCACCGATTGATGTGAAAAAGCTATGGAGGAAGCGATGGAGGCTACGGGAAAAGGATGTGGGGAAGAAAGGAAGCGATGGAGGCTACGGGGAAGGGGTTGTGTGGTAAAAAAGTTTGTGTTCCACTTAGTTCTAGGGGGTAGGGGTGAACAACCGTGTCCCACCCTTGTTCTACTTAGTTCCACATTAAGCCACACCAAACGTAGGACAAATGTGTTCTGTCTTGTCCTGTCCTGTCCCACCTTGTCCAGCGCACCAAACACACCCTTATATATATATATATATATATCTGAGAAAGCATAGCAGTCATGCATGGCCATGCTGCTGCTGCATAGTACTATGATAGATTCAATAACCATCCTCATTCCTCAACAAAGATCAAATAGAATACCTTTTCAAATTTTCATGATGAGATATGATTATAATTTATACGATGCGGGGTCTTTTTTGTCTTCTAGTTCATGACATCACAAAATTTCATCTCTATTTTCCAAAATTGCCTGTATGTTCATGTTTTATCTGGATTAAGGTTTTCGAGATCACCTCATTAGAAATCAAAGGAGACAACCTTGCAATCGTGTTTTATACTTCTAGATTTGATTGATGTCGTTAGTCCATAGGTTTTCAGTTTTCATGTTGGTTAAAATTGGATCTGTCAATAGCGTGGTGCTTATTCAATTATTTGCATCTCAGGTCCATTGCTGCTACCGTAATGTAACATCATTATGTTAATACATAGTACATATGTTATATACATATCTCAAAGTTATATTCCGTTAAATAAGTTTTCTGTTAGATCTTAATTGCTTCCTTGTTATCGGTCCATGACCGTGAACCATCTTATTTAGACGCGTTTTTTGATCTGCAATAAATTATCATTTTGAACTCGGAAGTCATTAGGTGGTATTAAAGCCTTAGATTTAAGTCATTACAGGGTTTGTCATCAGTAATAATAGCAGCTGTTTTCTTTTTTTGATATTCTTACGCCCCTTATCCGTTTACCAGATGGAAGAAGTCTCCCCTAACAGCAAGCATGAGATTGGGGATGAAGGTGGCGAGCATAATCTGCAAGAAAGAGAGGGGGAGAAAGCAGAACTAGACAGTGAAAACGGTTTTCCTGAAGGAAAGAAGGATTTTGTGGCACCTGCTGTAGGAATGGAGTTCGAGTCATATGATGATGCTTACAATTATTATAATTGTTATGCTCGGGAGGCAGGTTTTCGAGTAAGGGTGAAAAATTCATGGTTCAAACGTAATAGTAGAGAAAAGTATGGTGCAGTGCTCTGCTGTAGCAGTCAGGGTTTTAAGAGAATAAAAGATGTGAATCGTTTACGGAAAGAAACAAGAACCGGTTGTCCTGCAATGGTGAGGATGAGATTGGTGGACTCAAGAAGGTGGAGAATTCTTGAAGTTACACTTGATCATAACCACCTTCTTGGTGCAAAGGCTTACAGGTCTATCAAGAAAATGGGCACCGGTGGAACCAAGAAAATGCTGCAACCAGACTCTGATGCAGAAGGGCGAACAATAAAACTATATAGGGCACTTGTAATTGATTCAGGGGGTAATAATGGGAACTCAAATTCAAGTGGTCGAGAATTAGGTTCTTCCTCTGATCATCATCCGGATCGGTTGAACTTAAAGAAAGGTGACACGCAAGCTATTTATAATTACATCTGTCGTATGCAGTTGACTAACCCGAATTTCTTTTACTTGATGGATCTTAACGATGAAGGGCGTTTGAGAAATATGATTTGGTTAGACGCCAGGTGTAGGGCTGCTATTGGCTACTTTAGTGATGTAATTTACTTTGACACCACGTACTTGTCTAACAAATATGAGATCCCGCTGGTCACGTTCGTTGGAATGAACCATCATGGTCAGTCTGTGTTACTGGGCTGTGGCTTGCTTTCAGGGGAGACGGCAGAGTCTTATCTCTGGGTTCTGAAAGCATGGTTAACCAGCACATCAGGGTGCGTTCCACAGACCATAATCACAGACAGATGCAGGATTTTGCAAAGTGTGGTTTCAGAGGTTTTCCCAAAATCCCACCATCGGTTCAGTTTGTGTCACATCATGAAGAAAGTCCCCGAGAAATTAGGAGGGTTGCGCAACTACGATGCCATCAGAAAGGTACTGGTTAAAACAGTTTATGAGACGTTAAAACCATTCGACTTTGAAAGTTCATGGGGGTTCATGATCCAGCGGTTTGGCATTGGCGAACACGAGTGGCTTCGGTCTTTATATGAAGACCGAGCTTGGTGGGCCCCGGTGTATCTAAAAGACACCTCTTTTGCTGGAATGGCGGCTGCTTCACAACCCGGTGAAACCCTGCATCCCATCTTTGATAAATACATTCACAAACAAACCCCTCTGAAAGAATTTCTAGACAAATATGAACTCGCCATGCAGAAAAAGCACAAGGAAGAAGCAGCTGCTGATTCGGAATCAAGAAACTCATCCCCGACACTGAAAACAAGATGTTCGTTTGAATTGCAATTGTCGAAAGTTTACACACGAGAAATCTTCAAGAAATTCCAAGTGGAAGTAGAGGAGATGTATTCTTGTTTCAGTACCACACAGTTGCATGTCGACGGGCCAGTTATAATCTTCTTGGTGAAAGAGCGTTTTCTGGGTGACGGAAATAGGAGGGAGGTCAAGGATTACGAAGTTCTGTATAATCGAGCAGCTGCGGATGTCCGTTGCATCTGCAGCTGCTTTAATTTCAACGGCTATTTATGCAGACATGCTTTATGTGTGCTTAACTTTAACGGGGTTGAACAGATCCCTTCAAAGTATATTTTATCGAGATGGAAAAGGGATTACAAGCGACTATTCGTTTCAGATCATGTCGGGTCGAACAACGACTATGGTTCAGATGCAGTTCAGTGGTTTCATCAGTTATACAGAAGCTCGTTGCAGGTTGTGGAAGAAGGTGTGATTTCACTGAATCATTATAAGGCTGCTATACAGACATTTGAAGAGTGCTTAAATAGAGTTCATAATATTGAAGATAAAACATGAATACGATATATGATTCGTTTTTCTTTTTCTTTCTGTTATGTGTAAATTAATGTTGTTTTCTTTCTTGTGCATATATCTTCTGTATTTGATATAAGATTATTTGTTTCATTTGACGGGTTTCGGTTTTTCACCGTTTTTTGGGGTTTTTTTGTATTTTTTTTTTGCCTTGCAAACGTTATATATAAGTGTTCTGGTTGAGGGGTTTACATACCAAGTTCTCGATTTGTAAAAAAACGTTCACAATTCTCAGTTTCTCGCTATATTTTGCAAGACAATGTAATTTTAATTATAATAAAACACATTTTAAAGTGTATTTGAGTGAACCAATTACAAATTTTATAACGTATTAAACATATATATATCATTAAAAAATTATTTTTTAATGACCGGGACCGGCGGCTCATAACCGGTTACAATAAAGCTTGACCGGGCTCACCTTTTTCGACCGAGACCAGTTATGGCTGGATCTGTCGAGGCCCGGGACCAGTATAGCCTGACCCAGGACCGGTTTTTAGCCATCACTACTGGGAGTGGGGAACATATTCTATTTTCTATACCCGTTGGGGAACAGGGACGGGGATAATAAATAATAACCATGAACCAGGACTGGAGATTGCATTCCTCATCTCGTTGCCATGCCTATTCATTAAGTGGACGAGATTGGACGAGATATGATTGGACCGGCGGGAGTGAAATATGTGGGTGAAAGGATTTTGGAATGCATAATGGTTTTAATTTGACACGAGTAGTTTAGTAATTTATCATTATTGTCTTTTTTTCTCGATTTAGTTCTACTTATTTTGATGGGACAGCAAAATGCATTTTTGTGTTACTCGGATTGGTATCAGTTTAACGGCGTACCAAATGCGGTGTAAGGCTTAAGAAACCGAGGTCTTAAAATGAAAATATTAAAACCTTGAGGGTGTAAATTGGCATATCGGAAAGTTAACCCTTCCTTTTTCTAGTTTTCAATAAGGGGGCGGGACGCTTTCCCTCCAAACCCTCGGCCCCTTCCTTTCCCTCGGCGAGATCAAGGTTCTCTCTCTCTCTCTCTCTCTCTCTCTCTCTCTCTCTCTCTCACACACACACACACACCCCCCATAGTTGCAGTACGATTTAACTGCTGCATCTGTGTATGTATTGATTGGTTGTGATTATTGGAATTCGGTAGTTTAATCGTGATGTATGATGATCGGTAGCCTTATCCTGCTTAACGTGAAGATAGATGATGAGATGAAAGTGGATTCGGCGTAAACTGATTTCTCCGTTTTGAGTGTGTGTAATTTGCTAGACTGTAGGATAATGTTTAGGGAAAATCATGATGTGTTCAAGTGTTTTTGTTGTTTTCAGGGGAATTGGCTTTTAAATTTTACTTACTTTTTCTTTGTAGGTTTTCGTATGTTGTCTGAATACGTTTGAATTTATTATTTCTTGAGCTCAGAAAGGTGTACGTGGTGAACTTTATCTCTGCTCACATTTCTCAACTAGATATATTTGGACGATAATGGTCAAGTTATTATTTTTCGAATCCAAAATCGACATTGTTTCACTTCTATTTTGTAGACTAAAAACTTTGATTTCTACCATACTAAACACAGACCCCATATCTAAATGAATTCTTTGGGTTTCTATCTCGAAGAACCTGTTTTTGCTAATGATCATGATGAGATCTTTGGGTTTCTGTCTTGGGATTTGTATGCTGAATTATTGCTGCTATGGTTGCTTCTGGGTTCACGTTTTGAGAATTCTTTCTTATTCCAAATCGATTTGATTATTTTCTGGGTTATATTTCTTTCATTGTTGATTACTTTCTGCGATAACTCTTCATCCACAGTGCCAAGTTTATTATTGACTCCATTTAGAGTAAATCTGACTCTTATGGTATTTGTAGGAATGAAGAACATGAATTACCTTATGTTTAGCTTAACACAAAACTTGGTGGTGACTAGGTATCTATTTAAGTGTCATCCTTGTTAATGGAGTTCAGATATTGCATCATTTTGTTTCCTATATTTGAATCAAAAAACATGATTTTCATCGATTGTGGAAGAAAAGGACATGGAGTATGATTATATAGTATCCCTGGATAGTAGTTGAGAGTAATGACGATCAAGGGCGCTCTTCCTATATTTGAATCAAAAAACATGATTTTCATTGGTTTTGGAAGAAAAGGACATGGAGTATGATTATATATGTATCTTTGGATGGCAGTTGAGACTTGAGAGTAATGACAATCAAGGGTGCTCTTTTTGGTAAAAGTTACATTAAGAAAAGGGATTGCAACTTTGTTAGCAATGAATCTGTTATCTCGAATAGCAGGTCTCTCATAATTGATTAGATGTGCTCAAGTTGTTTCAAAGTAGCTAAAATTTCCTAGCCATGCTTTATATTTCTTTCTTTCCAGTTGGACCATCTCTGCTAAAGTTCAAGTTGAATTGAGGTTCTTGCATAGTTATCTACAGTTGGGGGCTGTTTGGTTGGTTTTTCATTAAGTTTTGTATGGATAAAGCTGTTTGTATAGATTGGGAAGGTTTTTCATAGATGTAATGAGCATGTTTTTTAATTGGAAATGGCATGTTTAGAAAAAACTTGGCTTTCTCCATAAAGCTCCTCTCTAGAAGCTTATCGAATAAGCCACATTCTATATCATTAACCCATTAAGCTCATTAAGCTGCTAATAAACAGGCCCTTAGTATGATGCATTTTGTCTAACTTATGACTTACTGATGTTCCAGCACCTGAACTTCAAAGTTCACTCAAGAAGAAAGAGGTTTTGAAAGCATCCTTTTTGTGGTCCAGGAATTTCTAGTCTTGTGGTACCAAGAATCAGAATTAAAGTGTGAAATGAAGTTTAAGGCCTTTCTCACTGACCATGGTGTTAACCTTCTGGAGAAGAGATTCCTTCAGGCCCTTGACAAAATGGGAAAAGTATGCCATCTTTATCTGACCAGGGACCATGCAATTTTTCTCCACAACCTTCTCAATGGTGATGGCATCCAATCCATTGCTCAGTTCCGCAAAGAAGCCCTCTTTGAAGATTATCGTATCTCTAGCCAAAATGATGACCGTATTGCCTTCACCATTGACCTCTCCCTCCTCCACCGAGCCCTCCGCAGCATTGTCACCATTTACACGGAATTTGGTGGTTCACACAGCAGCGATGCTGGTGGCCCTACCCTCAATCGCCTCCAAATTAAGTTAGTCAAAAAACTCCCTCCTCATTCGCAGCAACCAATGCCGTTTCTCACTTTTGAGACCAAAGGCTACAAATCTGCCGTTATTCAAGATGTACCCATCTCTAAACCGTTATCCAGGTCCGATGTTCTTGAACTCCAAGCCGCTCTAGACATGGCGCAAGATTTGCCACAGACTTTAGTCCAAGTTCCAGACATGAATCAGTTACAAAACTTTGTGGACCGTATGAAACATGTTGGCGATGTGCTAAGCGTTTCTATAAGCAGATACGGGGATCTGCATTTGCAAATTTCGACCACGTTGATCACACTTGGGGCAGAGTTTCGAAAACTGTTGGTGATAGGAGAGCAAGCGCAGGTTCCGACCGGGGATGATAGTTTGAGTGCTCAGTCTAGAACACGAAGGGCGATCGAGAGGGGAGATGCAATGAGCGTGCAAGTGAGCGTGAAGCATTTCTTTAAGTCTCTCCAGTGTCATTTGGCGAAACCCGATTGTGCTTTTTATGGAATTGGCCAACAGGGTTCTTGCTTAACTGTCGTGTTTCAGTTCTTCGTACCGGGTACGCGCCAAACCGATAAATCGATCAGTCTGCATTGCCGCCTTCCGGTACTTGATCCTGGTGCTGATTGAAGGGAGTTGCAGATTTGAAATTATAGTGTTGATGTTATATTTTAGCTTTTTCATGAAATGTACATTTTGGAACTTTATGTTATCGTCGCCTGGGGCCGTTTACCAAACACTTATCCAGATAAGTTTTACCGGTAAAATTCAACATTATCATTTACTTACGAGGTAAGATTTTAATCCAGTAAAATGGTATCAAATGTAACAATTTACCCGGTAAACGCTAACCGTGGTAAAAGTCATTGCTCTTATTTACCAGGTAAGACTCTCGGTACTTGCCTTTGCTCTTACCAAGTAAGATTCTTGGTATTTATTATATTCATCGAGTAAGGTAATGTTACTTGATAGGTATATTTGGTTTTTAGGACTGGATAGTATAGAATATAATTTTACTCTTGTATCTTTCATACAAGAATACATGGCTTTATATAGCTACCAATTAGTATCTATACAATTAATACACAAGATATGATCCACCATATCGGTCTATATCTATACAATTAATACACAAGATATGATCCACCATATCGGTCTATATCTATACAATTAATACACAAGATATGATCCACCATATCGGTCGATATCTATACAATTAATACACCAGATTTGATTCACCATATCGTGTTACTTTACCAATGAACCTACAAAATCTTCGATACCAGGTAGAGACGTGTATTTGCGATATCATACCATGATTACAAAGAGATTAGGCGATTAATGAGTGAAATCAGAATGTGTTAACAGATAGGATTTGAAATTCAATTTCATTTCAATCTCATGTTTGGTTTGAAGGATTGCTTAGATTTGGAGTCAATGAAATCTCAAAAACATAAATCCCTTTAAGGTTGGTATTTTGTGGGATTTTGTAGGGTTTGTATGTAATAATGTTTAAAATATGTTAAATACATTTATTTTATAATAATAATTTAATTATTTTTGTAATTACTTATAAGCTCTTTCTATAAATTATTTATAGAATATGTAATTAATTTTCATTCTAAATCATATAAACTGAACACAACAAAGATTTCAAATCCTATAAATCGAACACAGCAAAGATTCCAAATCCCTTCGATTTCAAATCCTTTCATGAAATCCGAATTTCTTAAAATCGTTCCATCAAACCAAAATGTCCCTTTTAGAATTACCTATAGGTCCGTTTGGCTTGCGAGATTTTGTAGGATTTAAATTCTATTTCAATCCCACTTTTGGTTAAAGAATAGTCTGGAATTAAAATCCCGAGATTTCAATGAAATCCTATAAACATTTTGATTTAGAAATTTCATGTGATGGTTGGTAATTCAGAGGATTTTATAGGAATTGTTTGGCAAAATGTTTTAAAATATGTTAAAAACATTTGTTTTATAATAATTAATTAATAAAAGGTATAATTATTTTTATAAAATACTTATAAATAATGAAATTAAATTCTAATCTAAATCATATAAATCAAACACGTTAAGGATTTCGAATCCTTTCACCAAATTTATACATTTCTAGGGGTCTTTTATTTACCTCTTAATAGTTTCATTAATAGACAGCTTCTGAATCGTTAAGAGGTAAATCTTATCTGACAAAAACACTTTTTCTCCTAATGTATCTAAAACCCTCTGAATGATTTTGTATTATGGGTCTCTCTTAACCATTCAACGCCTTAATTTCGTTGTAAATAATTACCGAACAATTATATTTCATTTTGTCTTATATCATAAGAGTCTTTTAATCATTCTGACCACTTAATCATTCTAAAAAAACTTATTTCATATAGCAAGTGAAAAATTGCCTATCATTTTAACAAAAATCGATTGGCGAACATATCAAGGTAAAAAAAAAAGTCAATAAGCAGTTTGCTACCTTTTCCACAATTTATTACAATAAAATTGAGTTAACACGAAGTCAAAAATGTGAATCATCCTGATTAAAGATTTTATAAGACTTAAGTTTATAGAACCAAATAATAAAAGATAATATCTAAAAGTGTTACAATAAGTTTACTGGATGTTTCTAAACGTCTTAACAAGTTCTTTTATACACTCTTAAAACAATGTCATATTAGTTTTCTGGTAGACACTAAAAAAGATCGTGTTCATAAAATAGCTAATACAACACTTTACTTTTAATATGTCCTAAAAACTTTATTAGAACACCAATAAAAGTCTTATGAACTTATAATAACACTTTAGATATGATGCTTTATTGTCTAATCCTATATATTTAAAGTCCTATAAAACAATCTATTAGAAACGGTAGACATCATATAAACCTAATTTTGATGTAGTAATTTGATCCAATTTGTCCCAAAATCCATTTTTGACCATAAACATTAGGAACAAGCCAAATTTGCTTGGACTGTATTGTGACTCAAAATCTTCTCCTTTGAGAATAATCAAAAACGGAAAGCGTTCAATTGGAACATGAGAGTGTGACTAAATTGGTCTTAGTTACTCTTCAGGACGGGATTTTTTAACACGGAAAAGGATCCAATAACTTCGAAAGAATTGAACGAGGAGCATATGAGGTGAAAATCTATGTACGGTTCTGTAGAGGGGCGATAAGGGTGACTTATCTGTCAAAACTCAAGCCAATCTACTCAGCAAACTATACCAAACAAAACCAGTGTTTGAAATTTCAGAATGCAATTTCGAGTTTCTTCCTAACCCAAGCTCAAGCTTGGAAATCTGAATTCGAGTTAAATCATTAGATTCAAATCGGAAACCAAGCATCAACTTTCAATCTTCAGATTCAATCTGTGTTTAGAACACAATTGCCTTCTTATAACCAAAGCAGCAAGCAATATAGCAAAAAAAATGGTAATAGAAGAAAAGAAGGCAGAAAGAGAACACCAAAAGCAGAGATGATTTACATTATACCACAACTTGGTTTGAAGTATAATTGTGTTTTCACAAAAACCTCAAGATTATTATTATTGCCTACTTCTCTTGGACCAAAAAAGAATCAGGATAAATATATATAGATATAGATATAGATATATATATGTGTTTGTTACTATTACTAAAGAGGAAAATATTTAGAAGGTACCTGCAAAATGCCCTTGTGTGATTGATTGTATAACTAAAAGAGTCTAGTCTAGGCAGAGCAAAGGCTACAACTCCATTTTCACAACTGTTTTTGAAGCCAGATAATCTGAAGAAGAAGATCCATGTTGCAGCCAATCCTTTGCACAAACGAGTGCCTCAACTGTCGATGGTCTTAATGAGCATCGATATCTGTCCATCTTCTTACATGTGATATCGAATACAGAATCTTGAGAAACTGTTGACACGGGTATGCACAAGATATCAGATGCCATTTTTGATAGAATCGGGTACTTTTTTCTGTTTAGTTTCCACCAACCCAGAACATCAAATTCTTGCATCCTAGGTAACACGGATTCTTCCAAGTATTGATCGAGTTCTGGTTTCATATTCTGGTGGCTCGTCATGCCAGAGATATAAACATCAAAATCTGAAAGCTCGTCGCTTGTAGAAAGAAATATTTCATTTTCGGGAACCTCTGTGTCTAGAATCTCGCAATGAAGAATGGTTTCTTCCTCGGGCATGTCTGTTTTCAAGAAACCTCCGTCTCCATTAACAACAAAGGTTGGTGGAGGAAGCATTTGTACGACATAATCAAGAAAGAGATCATGAACGCCATCACTCACGACCTTAACCCAGTGGTCGGCATCCTCACCATAGATTCTTGAAAAACTGAATTCCACAAGCTTCATCTTAAATCGTGGATCCATAACAACAGCAATGGAAAAAACAAGAGAGCAGTCTTTCCAGTATCTGTTGAACCTTTCGTGCATTGGTCTAGTCAAATTTCTAATGAATGCATCATCGCTCACTGCTGCATGTTTAAGCTCGAGCTGTATCTTCCATGCTTCATGGAAAAATGCATTCGCCGTTGGGTATGTCGGGCCCGTCAAGAGATTGGCAGCGTCAAGCAAAAGTTTCAAGAACGTACAGAGAACATCCAATTGTTTCCATTCATCCATTGTTAGGGTTATTCTGTAATTTGAATCAAACGTATCCAAGCAAGAAAAAACCTCCTTTAACTCACATGCAGCAATGAGCATATGATAAGTGGTGTTCCATTGTGTTTGATCGTCAAGAACGAGACTTTTTGCACTTGGTACCTGAAGCTGTAGTTTAAGATCGTTAAATCTCTCTTGACAAGCATCCACTGTTACCACATACTTTACACTATCACGAACTTTCTTAACAGTTTCCCTCAACGACCCTAAAGCATCTTGCACAAGGTGGCCCAAAACACGAGCATAGCAACTCCCAATCAAGAGTTTGCCATTAAGAATAAGTGGGTTTTTGACAGAGAGTAGATGTCTCAAATTTCTCCTTACCGCTTTGTTTGCAAAAGATTCATCAAGAGTTACTGCAAATAGCTTGTTCTCCAAATTCCAATCGGAAATGCAAGAAAGAATAGCATGGTTGAAAGCAGATTCTGAATCTGGAAACGGTAACAACACAACAGCAAGGATCCTCCGATGCAATTTCCAATCGTCATCAATGAACTGTCCTGTTATGAATGCATACCCTACACTTTGATATGTAGACCACATATCCAGAGAAAGGTTAACACGTCCAGGGACACTGCCAATAAGATCCAGAAGAGTTTGCCTTTCCCTCTGGTATAATCCCACACAATCCCTTTCGATGGCATCAAGAGCCACAACAGGGAATTGAGGCTGAAGAGCCCTTACAGAATTCAGAAAGGCAGGACATTCCACCATGTCAAGTGGATATTCATGCATAATAATCATCTTCGCAATATCATATCTGCAACGATCTTGAAAAAAGGACGTGTGGTTTGATCCAGAAGTACTTTTCAGACGCTTTCTTGGAAGATCATTAACATCTTGTGTGCCATTAACGCTGGAATGAGGGGTCAATGCCAAAACTTCACCATTTTTCTGATTGATGCGGCTTACAGGGCAGATTCCCAATGCAATATGTCGCTTGAGGTGACTGGTGCCAGCTAGCTTTGAGCCTGAAATATATGCAAATGATTTCTTGCATTGCATACAACGGGCTCTGGTGCATCCGGAATCAACTGTCTCTATTGTGAAGTGTTCCCACACTATGGATTTCTTCCTCCTGCGCTTGTTATTCATCTGTTCATCCGCATTAGGGGGTTCACTATTATTTGTAGGGTTAGCCATCTATGAAGGAGGTTCTGCAACAAAGGAATACTTGGTCAAGAGTTAAGTGATGGTAAACTAAAAATTTGGATAGAATTTTGTTCTACAATGGAATCATGGCCAGAGTAATTGAAGAATCAACAAGCATATTTAAATGACGTCCATCCAATATATGGTTATTGTATAACCCAAACATAGGATATAGTAATGGACAGACCTATAATAAACAGATAAAATGACAAGTAGAGAAAATACCCCCCTCCCTTCAATCCAAATCTGATTCACCACAATATCCACCAAAATAATAACTAATAAAGTCAATTGTGGAGAAAAAAAGAAACTAGGAAAAGAAATATAAATCAAAACCAAAACCAAATGAACCGAGTAAATTCCACATGTAGGGTCTCTAAAGGACAAGTTGTATGCAGACCTTACCTCTACCCCGAGGAGTAGAGAGGTTGTTTCCGAGAAGACCCCCCAACTTGAAAAAGGTCGACAGAAATGAGCTTGTTAAAAAAATGTTCTGGAAGTTTGACTGAAAGAAAAGATATCTGAAATATTAAAAATAAATAAATGAAGTTTAGAAGTGCTGAAGAAATAGTAGTAAGAACAAAAGTAAAGCACACAGGGACATTTAACTGCACAGAAGAAGATCCAAAACCATCAAACTACCTACAAATTGTTGACCATCCTAGGGCTTGGCTACCTCCCGCCTACCCGCTACCTATCCCCCTTCCCTGCCCCCAAAAATCGCTGGTCCTCGCACACAATCTGTTACCCTAGTACTTGTGAGGTCATGTCTTCTGAAATGTCTAAAGTCGTATGCCTAGTCTCAGTTGCTCCTCGCACGTCTTCCTTGGCCTTCCCCTCCTCTTTACACCACCTACCCTAACGCTCTCCACCCTCCTCACCAGTGCTGACATGTTTTTCCCTGTCATATATTTTTATTGTAAGATTTTAATAATGTTCATCAAAGGGCACAAGTGCAAGATATAGCATCTGAATTATGCACAAACATGCAAATATATGCATCATTAACCACATTCTCTCCTACAACAATCACTAATAAATTCATCACTGTAAGATGCAGAAACGATCACATAATCACTGAAACAATCAAATATGATCTTCAACCTAAAGTTTCTCACCGGATGGCTTCTCTTTAGTAACTAATGTAAAATCTTAAAAGATACTAATCAAATACTAAAGTTCTATCTTTAACTGATATGACTTGCATAGAATTCAATCTTCAAGTCAGAAACAAATTCAAACATCAAAAGGAAATATTTTTCATTCAAAATGATACCTCTGTAATTGGAGCACAGTTAACTGATCAATTAATTGATGGACATATTGTTTCCAAAACTCAAAATAATTTTGCTAACAGTGTAAACCTGTATCATACAAAGGGTAAAAAAACGTTTCTTCATGAAACCACAAAACATTGAAGCAAAACATGACCATAAGAACATCATCAACAACCAAAACAACAAGAAAGATGCACATTCTGCACTCTGCACGGATCGACAACCAAAAAAAATACGACGAAAATCCCACGATAAACCATTCATATACGTGATAAGGGAAAGAAGGAAAGCACAATCTTATTGCTTCTATATGAAAAATCAGACGATTTATGTCAGTTATACAATCAAAAACATGTTGATCATGATCAAGACACATCTTAATACCAAAATAATCCGCACATAGAAGCATTCATCGATGGGGGTTTAAGTTTTCACATAAACATGCATGATTTCAGTCGCATAACACTAACCGTTGAGGCGGCAGCGATCCGTGAAAGAGGAAAAACAGTTGCGCTTGAGAAATCTTCCAAAAATTTTGAAGCTAGGGTTTAAGGTTTTCAATTTATATGGTATTTTTGTTATAGAAAAAAAAAGGAAAAATAAAAATAAAAAGCTCGAGAGGTTTTTGGAGGTTGATGAAGAATGAATGAAGATGGTGGATGGGCTTACAGATTTGGAGGCTGCGCTTAAACCCTAATTGATCCAAAAGGCTTTCTGCTTCAAGGTCCATTTATACGATCTCAGCCCACCTCCACTTGATGAAATCACAGCCGTTCAAAACATGCTTTTTCCATCCATATCTATAGTCTATACTCTATACTATATTATAAAACATTTTACAAAAAATTTTAAAAATAATTTTTTTATGTATAAAGTACTGTATATTGATATATATATTACTTAAAATTCAATATTACAAGTAAATTATGCATAAATACAACTTATTAAAGTTTGATGTTTGAATTCGTATAACTAACTACAGATAAATATAATCAAATAGATAATAAACTTCGTGTTTTAAAATATAAAAAATCTAAAATATAATTAGAATAATTATCGAGTTCTAACAAAATAATTAATTATTGTCTTTATAAGAAAATTATATTATTAAACCAAATATAAATTAATTCGTTATTGTACTTAAATTAAATTATAATAAAAAATTGAATT